AGGGAATTGAAATGTTTAAGAACAAACTTGGACATAAATCCAAATTTCAATCCTGGTATAATAAAGGGGAAATGTGTGTCTAAGGCTCAGGTGGAGCTCTGGTCTGCAGAGCCAAGAGATAGTTCAAGAGACTGAGATGCCCACTGATTCAGGGGTATGGCATTGCAGGGCTCATTTGTTCAACCAGTTCTCCTTTGTCTTATTACACCATGGTGACACTTGCTCCAAGTGACTGTATGATCCATGCCTTTGCCTTTCTAATGCTTTCTACGTACTGATATAAAATATTCTGAAATCTGTGGGTGTCTACAGCCTCTTGATCTTGGATTTGACTTCAAACATCAGGGTAAAAACCACCACACCTCAATCATAGCAAAATGAACTTAATGGTTGATTTCCGTGCTAAGAGAAAGCACACTTATGAAAGAAGGATTAACTGGTACAGGAACAGAGGAATAATCAAACAAGAAGAACATATCTTTTTCTTGTTGCAATCAAACATCTGCAGAGGAGTAGATCTGAAAAGACATACACCAAGTAGAAGGGTATCAGCTTTGGTAAGAAAATCTCTGGACAGATAGGCAGTGGTCTCTACAACCCAAGAAACAACGATGGTAAGAATGACCAGAGGCACCATCTTTTCTCCCTTTGTCTCAGCTCATTTAACATGGAGAGAATCAGAAGAATTAGTCTAATTAATGCAAAGTAATAAACAAGGTTTTAATTTTCAGTTCAACGTTAAGAAAACTGCAGAGCCAGTCCAGCCTCGAGCACTCCTGAAGTTTCCCAACATTTATGGCCCCAAACCAGTAGTAACTTCACCTGAAATTGTTAACTACACGCAGTACTCCCTGAAGACAACAGAAGAACCAGCTACTGGAAAGCATACTGGTTTGGATGAGAACAGGATGAAGATACAAGTCAACGAAGAGCTGTTTGTTCTCCCTCAAAACGGTAGGAGCATTTGGTCTTCTCGGTCTTTTCTGGGTGTAGATTTGTAACATTTCTGAGCATAATGTGATTATAGTTAGAGAAATTAATGTGAAAATGAAGACATGGAGTGCTTTTTGCTCTCTTATCACGAGCATTGTAAGTGAGTTCTGTCTTTAATGTGTCTGTTTAATAGAAAGTAGTCATGGATCTCATCTGGATATTCAGATAACAAAGCTGTAGTTGTGTCTGGTTGTAAATTTATTTATAATAGAAACATCTATTGTGTTGAAGAATCTGGCTCACTGCAAGCAGACATTTTGTAGAAAAACATGGATTTAGTGTAGTTTTACTGAGAGCAGTTGCCAGAGCATGGGTGAAATATCTGACCAAAACTAGGCAGAGTATCTCCTGCAGGACAAATGCTAGGTGACCAGCAACTGTCCTTGTCAGGGACATCAGCAGCAGGGGTTCAAGCTTCTACTTTATTTTCTTCACTGCTTTTTTTCCACTGGTTTGGTGAGATAATCTTGGCTTGTTGTAATGTGCAGTGAAACCAAAGGCTGACACCTCAGACATTTTTGCCAAACAGAATTCTTGTTTTCCAGCCAGCCCAAAGGGTAACATGCCAAAACCTGGAACATAAGATTCCTGGAGCCTGAGAGAAAATGCAATGTTAATTATATACATCTGGCAGCATGTCCGGGTTGCTTCCATACTGACTTTTACCTTCACAGCTGTCTTTTTAAAATGATAATTGACTCTTATGTTTACCACATTAATAAAACCTTCCTGAAGATTTGCCAGAGACACAATGCCATCTGTCATGACTGTTTATATTTAAGAGAACCCTATTTAGGGGTTTGGGGTTTTTTTAATTGCTTGAGGTTATATTTTTGTCCTTCTGGGAGGACGATTGCTACATTCACCTCTCCACCCTAAGACTTGTGAGTGTGGAAAAGAAAGTACCATGGGAAGCAGCTGCACTGGAGGAAGAGACTGTCTGAGCCACATCCTAAGGTGTCAGGGAGAAGATCAGAGGGTGGAGAGGCTGAAGGGTGATGGCTGCATGTAGGCTAAAGCTTTAGATAAGTGTGTTGGGGTAAGAACCTCTCTGCACTGCCAATGCCACACACAAGTTTGCTTCTTGCTGTGCCTGATGTCATAGCTCAGGTGTTGCTGAAATAAAGCAAGAATTGCTGTGTTCTCCTTTTGGTGCCACGTTGAACTGGTCTGGACTGTGGCTGAGATTTTTAGGAGGAAATATGCTGGTCCTACTATTGTTTTCTGTGTGAATTGGAGCTGACCTTGCAGATAACAGCTTTTGATGACAAAAAGCTGTGGCTTCCCTTTTAGTCCTGGAACTTGCTTTATTTCAGTATGAAATAGGTACTTAAGTTCAAAATCACACGTGGAGAAGCTGTCTCACAGGTTCCCAAGCTCATTATCTTCAACTTGGTCAAGTGCTTTGGAAATAGATGTCTTCTGCATGACATCTGTATTGTTAACATAAATAAATAATAATAATGAACATTTAGGAAAATCTGAACTAATAGAGAGTTGCATGGCAGCTCGAAAGCAGACTTCACTTCTCGTTCCAGAGAACACAAGATTTAATTCACCAATGTGAGTTAAAAGCAATTGAAAATAATATAACAAGTAATGAGTGTGGTTTAGACACCTTGGCCTAAGCACAAGGTGAAAGAGCAAGTGTGTGAAGTGTGAACCATCGTAGAGCACAAGGTGGTAGAGAGCAGAAGGCTTGTCCAGGTGTTGTAGAAAGAGTTGAAAGTGTGAGAAAACAGAGCAAATAGGAGATCTGGAGGAAGAAAGAACATGTGCAGGAATACTAAGACATTTAGAAAAGTTGAGTCAAGACAGGGTGGATTTGTTCTCCTTGGAAGGTGAAGACCTGCTTGCTAAAGGGGTTATTTCAGTTCCAGGTGTGGTAAAGGACGTGTGTGTCACAGAGCACTTGAACCCTGAGAGGGCAGCCAGCTGTAACCAGGCCCCTGAGCTGCGCTACTCCCTTACCTATGATCAACAAAAAGCCGAGCTGCGTGTGGCCCTTCTGGAAGGTAAGGAGCAGAGATCTTCCCCTGGTGATTCTCCGCCTGGAGGGTACAAAATGCCTGTTGATTATAATAGAGTTCCCCCTCCTACCTTAAAATCAACATGTGTCTCCAGGACCACTGCATGTTTCACTGGCTCTGGGTTTGCAGAATAGAAATACCTGGCGATGTCACTGCTTGAAGTGAGCATGCAAGGTAGGACTTGGGAACAACTGTTTCCAGAGCTCATATGCAGAAGCCAGGAACCAGGATCACAGAATCACAGAATGATGGGGTTTGGAAGGGACCTCAGGAGATCATCCAGTCCAACCCCCCTGCCAAAGCAGGTCCATCTAGAGCAGATTGCACAGGAAAACATCCAGCAGGGTTTTGAATATCTCCAGAGAAGGAGACTCCACAACCTCTCTGGGCAGCCTGGAGAATGGAGTCCTCCAGTCCCAGACATGGTACAAAGCCACCTCTTCTTTTTATTTTTTCCTTTGGTGGCAGGGGGGAGGGGGTTGCTATCTCCTTCCTCTCTATAACTTTCATTCTTCAACTTGACCCACTCCCTACTGCCTCTTCCTCAAGTCAAGTCAATTCAAAGGCTGAGCTGGAGATACCTGACTTATCTTGTAGGTCACTGAGGAAGGTCCCTCTAGCTGCACCTGGCCAGGCAGCCAGGCTCTGTGTCACTCTCTGAAGTGGGAACTGACAACTGTAACAGCTTCTCCGCTCAGGGCTGGAACATCATCAGTTCCTCTGGGAAAGTAAAACAAGCTGACTGAATAATTCATGCAGAGTGCAGATCTCTGTGGAAACCTAATCAAATCACTCGGAAATGGAAGTGAAAATGGAAAGGGTGCTAAACAGCAGCCACTGCTGTGGGTCACCTGCCAGCAGCAAGCCCACAGCTTCCCTCCTGGGTGGACACCCATGCCTGTGGGCTGCCACCCTGGCTCTCCTGCATGTGTGCTCCTCCCTGGGTGTCCCACCGCCACCCAGGCAGGATCCAGCTCTGCTCCCTAGCTCCGCATCCCCAGGAAACCAGGAGACTCCTGTTAACCATGGGACCTGGAAGCTCAGGAGCAGCTGTCCTTGGACAGTTCTTGCAAGGACGTTAATTTTGCCCACAAAGCCATACTATCCCATGACCCCTTGGAGGAAGATGTGCTCCTCTTGCTGTGGAGAAGGCAGCACGGTTCTGTTGATGCAACTGGAGTGTGAAATAAAAAGGGGTATAAAATTGGGATATAAAAGGGATATAAAATTAGGGATGAATGTCTCTTGACACAGATCTTTTGGGCTGTGGGATGGTTTCTGAAGGACTCATTTACCAGAGGTTGAACAAGTAGAATGTAATGACCCTTAGATGTGTCCCACACTGGTGTGCAGGGGTGGATGGTGACAAGGGGGAGGTCTCTCCCATCTCTGATGTCTGTGACTGACCATCCTGCTTTTAAAGCCTTTGTAAGAAGCTTTCTTTGTGTGCCAAGGTAAATGAGAGCTGCCCACCACTGTGCCATGCTGTGTCTCATCTCATCACTGCTCTGCATCTTCAACAGAGCATGTTTCCTTGAACTCAGCTGCTCTTCTCCCAAACACTTACTGAATCCTTCTGCAGTGGCAGAAGGACAAGGACATTGTGCAGCATGAGGAGAACACCACAGTAGGGCCTCATGGCTTAGTCCACCCTGTGCAAGTAGGAACAGGGGTCAGAGTCTGTGCAGCTGGTTTATTTTATGGTTCTCATGAAATAAGCAATTTAGCACAGATATTTCAGAGCTGTCTTTTGTGAGAGGTCCTGACAATCAATCTTTCTTTTCCAGCTATGCATGGCAGAATGAGTGGGGACCAAGATGCTGGCTGCCATTGCTACATACTGGGCACACTGGTGAGCAAGTCTGGTGTTGCTGAGGCCCAGACAGAGCTGAAGAAGAAGGTGCTTCACACCCTCTGGGAGGAGATCCTGCGGTTCCCGTTAACGGAGGAGGAGATGCCAGAGGGGACACTGACTCTCACCCTGAGAAACTGCGACAAGTTCTCCAGACACAGCATTGTGGGGGAACTCAAACTGAGCCTTGCTGACGTGGAGGAGTCCTTTGGGATGGCCCAGTGGGAAAGGCTAAAGACCCCAGAGAAGGTACGGACTCAGCCTGTGTCAGTAGTCCAGAAACTCTAATGATTAATTGTTCAGAGAAGAGAAGACCTCTTCCAAGATGGTTGCATGTTAGTGGGTGGCTTTATTTGTTCAGAGCCAGGTTTAGAGGGGTGATGTGTGACTGCACAGGTCACTCAACACTGCTCTGTGTTGGTCTGTAGCTAACCATCTCAGAAAGCAATCAAAGGCCCATCAACCCAACCCTTCCATCTACAGCTCCTGGCAGTTAAGACGTGTCAAAACTCCCTCTCCTCCTTCCTCAGTTACATGACAATCTGACACTGATGGCTGTAATTCAAAGCCTCTACGTGAGTTTCTGTGAATTAACCATGCGGGACCGTGGTGGCAAGAGCTGAAATAGCAGAGAGTGCCTACAGAGCAGGACTCTGCAGAGCTGGGTGTGGGTAGGGCACAGGGTGGCACCCCGAGGACTCTTAAGTTAGGAATGCATTGTTGGGATTGAAATGTTTGACTGAAGGACCACTTATCCTTGCTGGGATCAATCCAGCAGTGCTATTCATTCTGGGAGATGTGAAAATATCACACATTGCATTGCCTTGGGTTTTTTTTTTTAAACATCAAAATCTCCTTTTCCTTCCTTATCCAAAGCTTCCCAGCTGCAGAGACAGGGAAAATGGAGGGAAGGATTCCAACAATACTTGAAGTAGGTACAGGGGGATGCTTCATGTGCACTAACTGCTTGCAGTGTTCTTCAGGAGCCTTTCCCCTGCCATGAACTAGATTATTATTCTTCTAGCAGCAACAACAACACGGCAGCAGGGTGCTGCTATTGTTACTACTAGTACATTGCTCCAAGCAGGTACCTATTGTACTCGGCTGTGGCACGGGGTGAGCAATGCAAAACACCATCAGCATTGTCCCTAAGCATGCTGAAATAAATTGTTGCCTGTCACCATCAGAGCTGGCCACAGAGTTAGCGTTTCTGATTTCCAATAATGCTAATTTATCTGATCGCCACTTGAATGCTAATAGGGCTGGCTGCTCTGAAAAAAACCACCTCTGGCAGAGAGAGAGGCAGCAGAAACAAACGGGTGGCCTCAATCTGTTTAATAAACTTCCAGCACAAGGCTAAATATTTGCCTAATAGCTGCAAAGCAAAATGAGTTCCCAGACTGCTGCTGGAAAAAGAGATGTGCAAAAGAAATTATTCCACTAGAATCATAGAATCACAGAATGGTTTGGGTGGGAAGGGACCTTAAAGATCATCCAGTTCCAACCCCCCTGTCATGAGCAGGGACAATATAATGATTTAAATTCCTAAACTGAGATAGATGGAGGCCCCCCCCCAAAAAAAAAAAAAACAACCCTTAAAAATCTGCTGTAGTATCTGCTTTGTAAGCCATATCCAAAGATCAGCCTGTTCACAGCAATGGTCATTGTCACTCAGGTACACCTGATGGACTCTGGACATACAGAATCCCAGAATATTAGGGATTGGAAGGGACCTCAAAAGATCATCCAGTCCAATCCCCCTACCAGAGCAGGAACCTAAATGAGATCACACAGGAAGGCGTCCAGGTGGGTCTTGAACATCTCCAGAGAAGGAGACTCCACACCCTCCCTGGGCAGCCTGTCCCAGGGCTCTGTCACCCTCACTGGAAAGAAGTTTCTTCTCAAGTTTAAGCAGAACCTCCTGTGTTCCAGCTCACACCCACTGCCCCTTGTCCTACCATTGGGCATCACTGAGAAGAGCCTGGCTCCATCCTCCTGACATTCATCCTTTACATATTTATAAACATTAATGAGGTCACCCCTCAGTCTCCTCCAAGCTAAAGAGCCCCAGCTCCCTCAGCCTTTCCTCAGCAGGGAGCTGCCTTGGTCCAGCTTCACAACCATGCATAGAAACAGGGCAGCATTCACTTCTTCTCCAGGCTGACAGCACAAGGTTAACATTAACAGTTCTGCTGAGCAGTGCCCCAGTTTGAGCTGAGGATGTGCAGTGAAAGCTGAATTTGCGTCATCTGGGACCTGAGAGAGCCAACCGTTGCACAGACAGCTTATATCCAGATCCTGAATCATCCATCCAGAACCAGAGCAGGAGGGAGAGCGAGGAAGAACTGATCAAAGGAAAAAAAAAAAAAGAGGAGCTATTTTTGACAGCATCCATCCAGGAACAAAGTTCCTGGGCTTTCTTTAAAGTCTGACATTCCCTTGGAAAGCCACGAGCTGTAGAAATTTCATTGCTACCTTCCCAGTAATTCTCCCACGCACAAGAGAAGGAGCTCGGAGGGCAGCTGAGAGCTGAGCAGGTAAAGCCATCAGTATTCAGGAATCCACGGAGCGCTGTGAGCCATGCAGAGCGTAGATATTGCAGACTGATACCCTTATCTTGTCTTCCTTCCCTCCCGGAGCTTCGCTAATGACAGCGGCGATAGTGGCTCCTTCCCTTTTGTGGCTTCACGGTGCCCTGCACACGTAGTTCATTGATGACCCCCCCCCACCCCC